GGCTTGGGATCTGTCACATGGCGGGGATCCGCACCCCGGCCGGGGCCACCCGACACCCTCGCCGCTTCTCCTAAAGAAAACAAAGATGAAAATGCTGCTGGGCACCTCGGGAGCGGGCGCTGCCTAGGATCTGGGTAGCGTTGGATCTTCTCTTCGCCTCCCCTGTGATACTCTGGATCAGAAGGCGAGCGGCAGAGTTGAAAGTTGGTTCTCTGCAGTTTCGGCGTGTGGCTTCTAGTGGAAGCGAGAGGATCGGACTGCTTATTAAGGAGGGTTTTTTCTTAAACGTCTTCTGAAGGCAAAAGCTTGGTTCTTTTCAGATTTTGTCACCTTTTCAAAGACAGTCCTTTAAAGTGTCTTGAAGTCTTCTTCGGAAGTACCTCAACTGATAGGAAAAAGTTTGAGATACAGTAAGAAAGAGACTTGCTAGTGGTTGAGATCATAGTTAAAACATAAATAACTTTTTATTCCTTTGACTGGGAATAGTGTTGCATATTATTGGGTCCTTGATAGAAGTAACTTTTTTTAATTTGTTGTAAAACAACTGGCCTGGTAATTCTTCATTGCTACTTTGCATATTAACCAATCTCAAGAATGTCAACTAGTATTAGTAGAGTTTGGGATTTTTTTGTGTGTGGCTTCCCCCTCCCCCCGAATTAGAAGTACTGACCTTTATTTCCTAATTCAAAGTTTCAAGTTGGTAAATAGCTATAATATCTTTATTTCCTCCTTTTTAATGACCTGTTGCACTTTGGTAAAATGTTAACTTTTTGTTTCATACCTTTTAAAAAAGCGTTGTTTTTTTTTCTTTTATTTCCTCAACAGGAAGGAGTGAAGACTGAAAACAATGACCACATTAATCTGAAGGTGGCAGGGCAAGATGGGTCTGTGGTGCAGTTTAAGATTAAGAGGCATACACCACTTAGTAAACTAATGAAAGCCTATTGTGAACGACAGGTATGGCTCTTGTATGATCATCAGGAGAACTGGTGTCTGGGGGAGACGTGATCTCCGTAGAGATGGATGAAGACAGTGAAGTCTTAAAACTATGTAAATATGCTAACTGATAAAGACTTAACAGAAACAAATTGTGTTCTGGAAAGGGTATTGTTCTTAGGATTTGTTATAGAGTGGTCTGACAGGGTTGTGACAGGAAGCGGGTAGAACAAAGATCTGTTGTTATCTTTGTGAAATCTGCGTTATAGGTGTAGGCTGTTGGGAGGCAACTGTTAGTCTACTGCTTAAAAATATCAGTATGGAAAGGGTGGGAACCTGAGGTATGAACTTAGGATAGAGAGTTGAGTGATAATCAGAGGTATTTTTATAACTCCGAGTAACTTCTTGGTCTGGTCATAGACTTCTGATTTATTAGCTTAGTATTATTGTATTGAGCTGAGAGAATATCACTGAGTATTCCAGGATTTAAAGGTGTCTAATGTCTAACTTGAGAAGGAGCTTGTACATTTAGCGATGAGCTTTGTTTTTTCTCTTGTGATCTAGTTGTCAAACTAATCCTCTGGGACACACACAAAAAAAAAAAAGTATTTTGCTAGTGTAGTGGCAACTGCAGCCAGCCTACTAGGTTGCAGGCAGCTATTGCAAGTTTTAAACACACCTGTATAAGAGTAGTGCTCTTTAATACTTTCTTCTGAAGTTTTTGATTAGGAAAATTTTGCCTCTGCTGTCCATCATTTTTTTTTAATGACTGTCTTTAAAAAAGTTCCATCTCTACAAAAGCATTTGGAATTGGGGAAGGGTTTTTTTTTTTTAAACACAAATACTCAGTGATACCATGGAATACAATAAAATCAGTATAAAATATTGAGGTAACTATTTCACCACCAAGAAAAACAAACTCTAATTCACATACAGAGTGGTAAAACCTCTTTGGTTTACCCTTTGCCACAATAGGATAGTGATACGAATAAAGACAGGGAAAATCGGCTCTTACTGAACATGTGAATATGTTCCTGTATGGGTGTTCTGGGGATAAATTAGTGAATGTTTGAAGCTGTGAGCTCATTTTTCCTACCTCTGTCATACAAATGTGTTATATTATGCAAATCACTGTGTATTGGTTTTTCCAAACATAAAGTGCAGTTATATCTGTCTTTTTGGGAGTTTGAGGATTGGTTAATTGTCTGTAAAGTCCTGGGAAAGATGATTTTAGAAGTACCATTCATGCTTCAGTTACATGGAAACAAACAAAAGTAAGATTCTAAAACTTTTCACCTCAATTTCTACTCTGCTTTAAAAAAAATCGCCTAAACCAGCAAAAAAAACCCAAACCCAGGTGTCAATTGGAGGGAAAAAAAAATATTAAATCTTCAGAATGGGAGACATTTTTTCTGATTTCCGTTTTAAGCTAGTAGGTATCCAAAGGATATTTCTGTGGAGATGGACTTGTCTTTAAATTTTATTTCTTAGGTGCTTACTTCTAAAACTTTGTTTAAAAGCATGTGTTCTGTCTGTCTCTAAAAGTTAGCTTTTGTTCGTGTTCCTAACTAGGAACTGGGATTCCTAACCAATCTTAAAATCCTTAAGCTGTGGACTTTAGATTTAATTTTGGAGAGGTCAGGCTGCGTATAATAGAGAATTTAGCAGCTTTAGGGAATTAAAATCATATATTGCATGTAGTAGACCTAAAATGGAAGTAACTAAACCTTGAGTGTTATGTTTAGAAGATCAAGACTATTTGCGATTATTGTAAGCGGGGGAAAAAAATCATCCATGGAACATACTTAATTTTTTGTGGAAACTAATCTCACCAAGGTACAGTTTTTCAGTATGCTTTCAGCTAGCATTTATTCAGCTCATAAAGTTGTCAGGAACCTGCAAAAAACCCAACACTTTTGGAATAGGAAATATATATTTTAAGAAACACAATGTCAGAGAAAACTGTTCAAACCAAATGTTGCTGTGCAAAAATGTGTTGCTGCCATGACACTTAGACACATGGTTTTCTTAAACAAGATGATGTTCTGAGTGAACACTGCAGAATCTTAGTCATGCTAGAGAAGGTATTTTGCTGTGAACTATAAAGTCTTACCAAAAAGTTTACTCATATTCTTTATTAAAATATTTTTCCTGACAAATCAATTTCTCAAAAATAATTACTACATTAAGTTTTCTTTTGTGTGTTACTTCTGCTCTTGCATGGCTAAATGCAGGCTTCTTTTCTAATTCAGAGATGCCAAAGCAGCACCATGCAGTGCATTGGATTTATTTCAAAACCAACTAGACTTCTTGTATTTTTAGATACTTTAGAGAGGGTAGATAGAACTGAGAAGGTTCTTGGTTGTGGTTGTATCCTTGAACTTCATTCATCTTCTATTGCAGAATGTAGTGTGCTGTAGAATACCTTTGAAAACTAACTTGTGAATTTGAAGCTTATGTTATTAGTGGAAGGGATCGTTGCTCTCTAGTTATCTTTTTGAATCTGTTGGCTCAAGTGAGAATGAGAAGTAGTCTTCTGGGGATGGAAGAGGACAGCAGAATGACTATTGTGTGGTAGAAATGCTAGTTCAAAATACTATTCAGTAGTTTCTGGAAGTAGAGGATTCCTTTAGGTTTTTTGAAAGTTCCAGCTATGCATGGAAAAACTTTATTCCATTGATTTCTTGTTAATAGAAATTCAAGGTCAAAAAGTTCCCATTGGTTACTCTTTGCTGCTGCAGACTAATAGATGGTGGTTGCTTTTCTGAAAAAAATATTTTTAATACCTTTGCTTTTGGGGAAGATCAAAAAGTAGTATTGAATATTACTGTTTGACATTTGTTATCCAAAGTGTTGCATAAAGTGAATTATTATTAAAAAGCACTATAAAGATCTTGGTCTTTGGGGTGACACTTGTGTACTAGAAATTGCTTTATTTTAACTTACAGTCAGTGGGGGCACTGTTGCTTCTCTTTAATTATTGGACACAATGCAATTTTTGATACAAAACAGATTGCAAGGATTTGTAGTGAAATGCCTTCAAGTCAGTGCATGAGAGGAGTACAAAAGCTATCTCGTGCATTGTCAATGGTGGCTTTTAATGATCATGCTGCAATTCCAGTGACAAGTTCAGGAGAAACTAGTGAGTACTTTCACACCAGACTTACGTCCCTTTGTGTTACTTCTCTTTGTCTAGGGGTTGTCAATGAGGCAAATCAGATTCCGGTTCGATGGGCAGCCAATTAATGAAACAGACACACCTGCACAGGTAAACAACAGAAGCAACACCAAAGAACTGTATTTGAAATTTGCTGCAGTAGTTGATGTTCCTGATTCATATAAAATACTTGTGTAATTACATATATTAGTGATAGTACTTGATCTTTTTTTTTTTTACCATTATTTTGGTATAACTAGTTTAGAATTACTGGAAACGGAATCTACGACTTCTTTAGTGTTTTGAATAGTAAGTCTGTATCACTGTAGTAATAAAATAAGAAAATGAAGTACAGTGTACAGATGGCGAGTCTTGTAAAACTGTCACTTTATTGAGTCACAGCTCTGAGATAAGAATCGGTAAGCTAAGAATTGAGTTTTTCCTGAAGCAATGGCTTTATTTTTATATAAAAGCTTGCCGGGATGTTATCAGAGGTCTTGTTGCAAACTTGCATTTGTAATACGAAAGTAATTTTCTGTTATTTGTAATTTGAAGCTCTGTTTCAGTGGCATGAAATTAATGAATACTGTGAAGTTTGGGTTCTCTGTAATTGGTTAAAACGAAGGCCATTCCAAGAATAGAATGGTTCACTGTGCCTCTTGAGTATTTTTCTGTACTGTTCCACGTAGCTGTGTTTAATCAGCCTTTCCAAGTGATACAGTTTTATATGCTTTGCAGAACCACTTGTTACAAAATAAGGGATTCTTGTTTTTAGAAGGTTTATAGTAGATCTGTATTTTCTAAGCAGTTGCTCCAAAGAATGTGCCTCTTATGGCCACAATCTATGCAACTTGTTAACTTGGGATACTGATAATTGAGGCAACAGGGTGCTTTTCTCTCCATCCATGTTATGCTGAAGCTAAGGATCAGTCTATTTATAGCTGCGGTAAATGCCATAGACCAGTTTGATTTCCTGGAGCAGAAATTAAGACTGGTTAGAAATATAACTTAACATTAGTTCTAGAAACTCCTTCAGTCTTGGTACAGATTTTGTCAGTAGGTAACATTAACATCCCAGGAATATCAACTGTAAAAAATTATGGTAGAGAAAAGAGAATTATATTAATGAAGCATTGCTGTTCCTCACTGGCAGTTTGTTACATCGTTGACCATGTAAAGTGTTCTTAATTTTTTTGTGCTTGCTGATGCTCGGTTTTACTGCCTGGTTGGGCTAGGGGCCTTAATTATAGTCTGCTTTTTTTAGTGCTGTAGCTGAAGCAATTTGCACATTTGAACAACAGCAAAATGGAATTGTGGCAATGTTCTGAGGTAAACTGGGGAGGTGAATAGGAGAAAGAAGATGCAATGGCAAAGTAGGCAACAGAATTAAAATATTAAGAATGCTGATCTTTCCCATAGGAGTCATACAGTGCACCCTGAAGTTACGTACTAATTCATTCTAGGACAACAGCTATCAACTGGCATTTCTCTATTTCCATGGAATTTCTTTGCTTTTGAGTTATGGTGAAGTAGGTTAAATGTACAAAGTGATGATGATGAAGGGGAGTGGGGCTGGTCTGGTTAAGTTGCTTAAAAAGTAAACATGAAGATAGGAAATGTAAGAACAACCCAGTCTATACTCGATATCTGAGAAGAGTTGAAAGCCTTTTTTCTCTTTTCTGCTATAGTTGGAAATGGAGGATGAAGATACAATTGATGTGTTCCAGCAGCAAACAGGAGGAGTTTACTAAAAAACAAAACAAAACAAAAAAAAAACCACACAAAAAAAGAACCTGCTACTTTCCTGTCCAGAACTGTGCTCCCACAGGCGACACATTCACAATTAGAAAAATGAGACTTGGTTCAGCCACATCCTGACTACTGCAGTATAGTTCTCTCTCTTCTCTCTCTGATTTTTTTTCCTATTCCTTCTATTGTACATAAAGTAACCGGTGTATGTGCACAGACATAATGCATATTTTTTTTAACTGAATGGCCAATGGTATGTTTTGATCAACATTTAATGGAGATGGGGTGGGAAAACAAACTGGTTCTGTGAAAATGCCCCTTTCTCCATTAGTGGCATGCTCCTTCTACTCTTATCTTTATATTCCAGTAAGTTATTTTGCTCTCACTGTTTAAAAACAAAAACCTTGCATACCTTGTTTGATTGGATAATTTCAATGTTTTTCTTTTATCATTGTAAAACCAAGGACAATTTTATAACTTTTTTGTACGTAGCTGTTACATGTAGAGCAATCTCTGTCTAAGTAGGGGTAAATTACTCAAAAAAAAACAAAACAAAAAAAAAAACAAACAAAGATTCGAGATAGTTTTCCCTTCAAGTAAAGCGTCTTGTTGTTTAAATAAACTTCTTGTTTAAAATAACCAGTTTTCTTTATTTTTCTGTGGAGTAATAGTACTCGACACTTGTATTTCTTTCTGTGCAGCACTTTGCGCATCTCAGTTTTCAGCTTTCTACGCGGTAAGTAAGCATAATCCCCCTTTTATGGTCAGAAGACTGTTGGAAAATGAAAGGCTTCCTTGAGTCCTCTCAGTCAGTCAGAGTTGAACTGGAAATAGAAGTCAGTTTTGTTGTCTTCTTTTTTTTTTTTGTGTGTGTGTGTGTGTGTATGTTCTGCTAAGCCAAAAATGTTTGATTAGGCAAACTGCAAAATACTGGACTCTTACTTATGCCTTTTGGGTTGAGCTGTTTTGTTAGTCTTTAATAGAAACATCAATATTGTGGTTGCAGTAGCTTATTTAAAACTCTGTATTTGAATGCTTTTTGATGTAAACATTAAGTGAAAAAGAGCAAGTAATTTCATTAACTGTTCAGTTTACCATGGTATCAAATGGGAGATGCTTGGAAATGTAAAGCAAAAATAAAAAAATTGAGTTCTGTTTCTGGGTGTATGTAGCTATGGTGATGTAGATTCCAAGCTCTGCTTTACGATTGTGGTGTTCCTACTTGGAAGGGGAAGAGGTTTGAAGTACTGAAGGGAGCTAGTGACAATGGTGGTTTTTGTGGGTCTTTTCCACAAGGCTGTTGTTCTTGAGTTTTCTCATGGGGAGGTTTAGAGGTTGTGGTGAAATCCATGGATGTTCATGAAAGACTATGTATCTGTCTACTCAGCAGCTCCAAAGCATTCTCTGATGTTCTAAGAATGTTCTGATACCTTGTAGTGTTTACAGTAAGTTAATGCTATTTTAGGTATTAAATTGTTAGCAGAGCTCACTTTTTGGTGGTAGTTTTTGTAATAGTTCATTCAAGAAGTGATTACTACATGCTAGGTCTGTGCCTGCTGGATCTGGACATTCTTTAACTTTGTGGCAAAATGATGAGTCTCTGTATTTAGGTGATGGACAATGATCTGTTTGACTTCCATCATGACTTTAACACATTTGCTGTTACATTAATTGCATCTAATGGAGATACAAGAAAAATAGCGTCTGTTTTTGCAGTTGCTTTTGACTATGTAGCTGAAGAATGTAATCTACTCTATGGTAATTCTAGGAAATTCTACTGCTAAGCAGATTATTTCTTACTCGGGTATGTATCTTGTAGACTTCTGTGGTATATTGCAAGGTTGGAATTCCCTCTTGTGAACAAATGTTTTCACGTCCAAACCCACAAAGGCCTGTAAAAAAACTTCTTTGAAAAAAAAAAAAGGGGTGGTGATGGGGAATATATTTCAACACCTTTCATAGGTTAGCCATGGAATACATTGGTCTTTGGCTTTAGAATCTCTGGCTTTCAACCTGGCTAGACTGCTGATAACAGTGTATAAAATTCTTTCAACTTGATGTCATGCCAAGACTTTTCCCAGGAGAAAGATGTCTTTATCTTGTTTGGCCAAAAAGATGTTTGGACTTGCTTCAGTTTCTGAAGAAAGGGTGAGGTCTCCTTAAATACAGCTTTTTTTCAGCCCAACTTAAGACACTGAAGCTCAAAACTCCCTGTTGTATCTTGCCTACTATTTTTTCTTTCCTGAGGCAATATAAGTCAATTGACAGGTACTGAACAGCATGCTTTCAAAAACAATGTCTTAATTTCCTGAATTAGTAGAGTGGTACTTCATCTGTCATGAACTTATGTGCAGGATTCTTGTAACATAATGTTCCATTAATAAAATGAGACCATTTAACACGAATTTTGATTAGCTTACCAAAATTCCCCTGTACAAAAGTGAAAAACACAGGCTTTTGTACCTTTGAATTGGTGTGACAGCTTGGAAATACTCCGTAATTCAGCATAGATTGATACTTCCTCTAGTATTTAGCGACAGGCTATTAAAAAAAAATGGAGAGGCGTTGATTACCTAAATTTCTCCCATTTCTAACATCTTTCTGCAATTCACCTGAGCTGGCTCCTCATATTTCTGAAATACTTCCTCTAACAGTGCTGAATGGTGTTTATGTAAGATGGTGACTGCAGTCAAAAACTGGTAAAATGGTCTTTTCTGAGAGATATTTCCTTGATTAGATAAAAATCAAGAAACTCTCAAAGATCTTAAGTGACTTAGTTCCTTAAAAGCTTTGAACATTTAATTTATGTTAGTCTAGCAAACTGTTAAGTGGACTGGCACATTCTGGTACATGTCTGTGTACACAGCAATGCAGAAATACTAACCTGTTGGGTTTTTTTCTTTTTTTTAAATCTAATTTTTTAGAACTCTTCTTGCATAGTCTTGCAAATACTCTCCTTATGACAGAACTTGCTTGTTGGTACTGCTCCTCTGCTGCTTAGAGAATTTACTTGTTGATTCCTGTTTGCTGGAACTGAATGGTTTTTCTGTGACTTCATCTTCACTAAGCAAGCTACTGGTAGGGGTGAGGATTCAGAAGTGGTATGAGGTACAGGGATATAAACAGTTTGGATCGAATTATTTGGAGTTTACTTAGCTGTTTGGCCTGGCTTGATTTGTAACAGTTCTCGTGTTTATGCTGGTAGCCTAATGGACTACTAGAAGTCCACATGTCAGAGGATAAAGGAAAACTGGGCAAAAAGGTCTTGTCACACTAGTTGGGAGGTGTTTTTCATGTTTATTAAACAGCTGAGATCTTTCAAGAGCCTGGGCAAATTATATTATTACCCACAATTCTCAAATAATGTATTCTAAAGTGATTGCCATGCAATTTAGCTAATATTCCTCTCATGATTTTTAAATGAGAAAGAAAAGAGTAAGTCATAATTGGATACAATACTCTAGTGAGTTCTTGTGGATGACAAGACCTTGCCTTTAGCGTGTGCCAGGTCTTAGTCCCTCAAACAGTTTCAGTTTCAGTGGTGGAATGGATGCTACCAGTTATTTAAAAAGATGTAACCAAAATTGATTGTTTCAGGCACCTAAAGTAAGGCATTTTTATTCATGTATGGGGGGGGGGGGGGGGGAATAATGACAGATTGAAAGCACAGCTGGTTTTGGTGGGACCCTTAGTTAACACCTGAAAATCAGTGCCTTAGTTTATCTGCATAATGGGGATAACACCCATTTAATAGGGCTTTTGTGAGGATCAATATCGAGTGGCCTGAGATGCTGGTTCAAAAGGGGTTCTGGGAGTGCAAGGCTGTTCTGAAATGGAATATGCTGAACTGCCAAGAGTGTAAGGAAATACTCCAAGTGGTAATGTGAGAGAGAATCTTGTACTGGCATATGGAGGTGTTCTCAACAAAAGAAAAATCCCTGAAGTAGTACTGAGGTAATTGCTGCTGCAAGATAACTACAATATCGAAACACATACAGTGTCTCTGCAAAGGGTATGGTCAAAGCCAGATTATTTTCTTGCAAGAATATTCCTTTCTAGTACCTTCACTTCATTATTTCTGAGACACAATGTAATGTGAGTGCTGTCGTTTTGTCTGTTGGATACTGGTTCTAATGTGACCGTTACTGCAACATTAATGAAAAGGTATAATGTGACTGGCTCAAAGTAGTAATACTTTCTATGCTTCAGCCAGTTGGAAAGAATTGAATTTCTGAGGAATAGCAATTTGTTTTCAAAGCTAAAAATGAAAAACTAGATGCTTCCTTGATCATCATCTATTAAATTGAAAGTGAACAATAAATTGAAGGATTTTTATTAGAATTGGAGGTTGTGGCCACTTCTCAGTATGCTTGTATCAGCTGTTGTGATGGACTGTTGTGGAGTAATAAAAGACAATCTAAAAGCATTTAAATAACTTGAATTATTCTTAATTGTATTACCACTATAACCTAATACATTTCTTTCTCTGGATTATTGAGGTTTGTTCGTTCTGGCTGTTAGCTGGTCACCAAACTGAATATGTTCTGATAGTGAAGAATTTCATCATCTAATTTATCTTGCTTTTTTGTACTTGGAGTTAGAATGAAATGGTAGTACAGCACTTCTCCCTGGTGGTTAGGATGTAGGAGCGTGAGGATAAACAGGAGATGGAAGACTGGATTTTGATCACTGTTTGCGGTTTTTGGTTGCCCTTCAAGATGCCTAATTTCAGAGGTTTCCTGGTTTCTTCACTAGTAGCATGGGACTAATGGTCTAACATGGAGATGCTGGGAGGCCCAGCTGGTATTTATGAAATGGTTTGAGTCCCTTCGAGGGGAAGAGTTTTCCTCTCCTCCTGAAGAATTTCAGCTTGTGTGGGAGGGATCAAGTAGGGCTGGTGGTGCTATGGAAGAAGTGGCTGGCTGTCAGCAGAGATCCCAGAAGTGATGAGAGTCAGTGGGTGCTGTAAAAAGACGAGTGTATGAGTTGGTGAGGAGCTGCAGTGGGAGTGGGGACTATGGAAAGAGCTGTAGGTTTTGACAATTAATTAATCCTGACATGAGGATGACTTTGAAGCCCTGGGGAAAGACTAAGGTTGTGGAAGCCCAAATAAATAGTGAATAGATTTGTTGCTCCTTAGGAAAGGAATATTCTCCGGGGGAACATGGATGCAAAGGACACCCTTTGTAATGAACTTTGTGCTGGTTTTGGTGGCTTAGATCCGCCCCCTTTCTGCATCCAGACCACAGATCTTACTAAAGCATATCCGATGCCCTGCAAGGGCTCTTGAAGGATCACTTGATTAAGAAAACTTCACAGTTTAAGTGAACTTGGACAGGACAAAAGTGGAATGAAAGGAGCGCTTTGAGGACTCTGTCAGGACACTGGCTTCCCCTTCCAGTGATGCTTGTCTTTTTTTCCACTAAGGAGCAATGCTTTGGAGTACACTGCCAGACCTGGTAATGCTGGATGCCCAGACAAGAACAGCAGCGTGAATTGGCCACTCTGCTTTTTATGTTGTTCAGAACTACATCTCTGCAAGTTAGAGAGGATTCTGAACATTGTGATTCAAGCCTCCTTCCCAAACAGTAACTTGCTGTTACGAACTTTACCTGAAGATGTAGAGAGGCACCAAAGCA